TTTTGTTATTTTACGGTCGCCATGTTTGTGCCCCTCCGAAGGGCACAAACATGGCGTCTCCATACAAAGCTCTATAAATTTGGATGACACGCTTCTGCGGATAACGGGCGAATGAACAACAGCAAAAACCTGATTCTTGGCGAGGTTGTTTATATAGCAATCATCTATCATATCCTAGATTCTTGAATTTGTTTATTGAATGGTTACGATTTTTAGTTTTGATCACATGACTGGTGAAAACCAAGAATTATTTACAAATCTGATTGTTTGTCTTTAGACTTGTCATTCTCTGTCACCTATCAGGTCTTACAGCAGCAGGCTATGCATATGTGAGTACCAAGCATTGAATTTACAGTATTGCGAGTCAACGTTTTTAATGAGAAAAATCATTTCATAATAAATGCAAGAGACTCAAGAGAGTGCAATAGCCTTGTTAAGGGAAACTCAAAGTTTGGATAAATCCAAGACAAATAGCAACTGAGAAGGGCACTGCATAGGTGTTGGTGAACAAGTCCTCTCTATTTAATATTTTACAAACTGTATTTAACCATGAGAAATACCCATTTATTTGGGAAGTACTTCATATGAGAAAGTTGCTTTGTAGAGTATTGATTCTAGAATTATAGTGAAAAGATTTTGTCAAAATTTCTGTTTCCAAAAGTCTCTAGGTCACCCTCAAAACAAGGTTCTAACATCAATTATTGTCTAATGATGACAATACAAGGCTACTTATATGTAAATCCTCCCTATCAAATTGAACATCAGTTGCTGGTAATAAACAACACTTAACGTTAATGTTATGTATGAGTTTTTACATTCATTTCTACTACAGGATATGTCCATGTCAGTTGCACTCAACAATATTCAGTCAGTTGACAGAGGAGAAGATGAAAAGGTAAGGTCCTACATTAAGAGATCTTTAAAAAAAAAGAAACAGGAAAAAATTTATTATGGCAGGGTCAAACTACCTCTCATTTTGGAGTTGTTTTCCCTTAGGGGTGAAAGTGAATTTGCACTATGCCCACAGAACTAGATTCTGGTACCGTTTAGGGGTTCTTTGATTTCCCCTGTCACATTTGTGCAAGAGAATTCCCCTGGCCACACCCCTGGGGCACGAACTGGCTGAACAAAGCTGTCCAAGTTTAGACTGGCATCCTTACACAAATATCCTGATGCAGAAACAACAAACTAATTTTTTTTTTTTGAAAACCACATTATAAGTGCATCTCATCATACATCGTATTTTCAAATTGTATGTCGTTCATTTTCTTGTAAACTCTAGGTTGTCTCCAGGACTGTAAGAGGCAATGCTGGCTTCTCTGATGTGAAGACTCTGACGGTGCGTTGTTGGGACTTCCGCACAATCCGCTTGATCTTCATGAACAAGCCTCAATATTTGCACAGCTTCTATATGCCGCCTGATCCTGGGAGCATGCAGTCCAGTCCAGATTCCATTCTTGCTTCTCTGCAACCTGGCAGTCAGGATGGTACAAAGGAACCAAGTCTGCAGTCAATAGGTTCTGAGGGGGACGGGGGTGAAGGTGAGTTTGTCAGAACTTTATCTGTGTAACGATAGTAGTTACTCGGCATAACAAAATGTTATTGTCTATTTGTGCCTTTTACAGGAAGACAGCCTCTAAGCCAACCCCAGGTAACAGACCCTCCCTCTGCAAATGACTCCACAGATAACATCACACGTCAGAGCAGCTGCAGTAGTTTCCAGATTTTATCACGCAGCAGCAGCAGTAGCAGCGTTGCAGGTGTGAGCTCACACGGGTCAGATGGCCCCCAGCTTGTTCCCCAGGGTACTTCAGGAGTCCTTGGGGCAGGATTACTGGCTGCTTCATTTGGTGGAGGAGTGCCAATAAACAATGCCGTTGAGAGACTAAAGACTGAGCTGATACCAGCATCCATGTTAGTATTAGAATCAGTTATGTTTTTTTTGCTTACCATAATAGGGTCAGTCAGTGTGGGAGGGGGGGGGGGGCATGTTGGATTTTGGTAGGCTTTTGTATTCAAACTACAGTTGGTTAAGGGGAAAACAATACTTCACTTAAAGTCAGTGTAAAATTATAATTTATTGTTAATTAATCTTGTTATCAGTGACTGTTTGGTTAATTATGGGCTCTCATCTTTGGTGTAAGAAATTTCACTTTAATGCAACCAACTTCAATTTGTGTATTTTAAACTTAGAAAATGTCCTTTTGTTAAAAATTTGTTATGTTCTTCTTTCAGATTTTTGAATTTATACATCGGTGTATTTTATCAGAGATTGGAATTCCTGGCCATGAATGCTGTTGATAATCCTCCATCTGTACACTTTGTAAGGTAAGTGATCGTTTGCTTCTCATAATTTCACACATGTCCAATAATTTTGCCCTTGGCTTCTTATGCTTTGGGCTGCATGCATGCCAGATGTGGGCTTCTGTTACGTTAGGATCATTTGATGTCGTTAACTTGAGATTGTTTCGTTTTGCTCAGAGCATTGCCAAGAGACACTGAACTAAGTGGATGGAGTGTGTATGATTTTCATGAAGAGTTTGCCAGGCAACAGGTGATTTGGTGCAAAACAAAGTCATATTATAACAGAGTTTAATATAAATCTGCTAATGATCTATCACAAATGCTGTTCGTTTTGCCTTAACTACACAACCAAACGCACTCAAAGGTTGAGGCATTGTTCAGCCAAGCCCAAGATATGTTTTATTTGAGTCAATAAGCTTACAAAAAAGTGGATTATAAGAGATACATCAAACAGCATCCTACATGCGCCAAAGCCGGAGACGTAAACCCCAAAAACTTCTTATTAGGAAAAATAGGGACCGTGTACCCCCGACCAAATGTAGCGGCACCACCTTTGGGTTTTTAAGGTTGATATATAAACAACAGAACGAAAGATAAATCAGATAATGTTATTTACACAATAAATATAAAACTTATGCGAAAGTGCTATTGGCAAGGCTGACCGTAGAATGTCACAAGCTTCTCAACTGTCTCTTTTTACAAATGTACTAACCTGTGTTAGCCTTCGCGTACTACGCTCGCACCCAGTTTCCTGTTCCATGTGGGCAAAAGATTAATTTATGTCAATACCGATTATCACAAATGACATTATCACGACTGCCGTTCTCTAATCAGCTATGCTACTCACTATTTATTCTGTTTGAGATAGTGAGTGTGTGGTTCTTAACAAAATAGTGGCCGCTTCTTCGTGTTTTCGAACTCTCTGTGAAGAGGATTTAGATAACGCTTAAATGAATAGTAGATTTATAGTTACTGTAACAAAATTACTGGATTTCTCTCGATTTCTATGTGTGATAGATAGTTGACTCGGGCTGCACCCTTATCACCTATCGCTCATTAGAAATCTCGAGTTCATAGTCTAATTGTTTAATTAACTGTCACGGAAGACTATTTACGTTTTCTTTGGTCACAGTCCTTTCCAAGAGAATCGACTATTCCGGCCTGTAACATTTTTAACCGAGGGACACACAGTGGCCACCTGGTTTGTTGTTTGTGTTTTGTACGTGTATGTCGTTCATGGGCAAGAAGACACTTTGCTCTCACAGTGCCCCTCTCAAGCAGGTGTATTAATGATGGTAATAGGACTGAGTGGAGTCCAGTTCGGTCTGTAATCATACGAGTGATCAACAAAATCGGACGACCGCGAAGCGGAATTCCGATTGGTTAATTTTCTGTCGCGTACGTAAATAGAGAGGCTGTGAACAATCTTTTTATATCATAGAGCTCCATAATCCCTGTTTTTGTTCCAGGTTTCTGACAAGTGGCGTGTGAGTATGATCAACCAGGCATTCCTTCTTTGTAGTTCCTACCCTCCACTGTTTTATGTTCCTGCTGAAATACAGGTAACAGTTCATTAGAGATATTTAAAAACTGAAAACAAAATGATCCTAGAGCCAAAATCCTTGCTATAAAGTAGTCAAACTTCAAAGGGAAAAGTGCATCGAAGTTCTGGAAAAATGGCGTCTGCAATTAATGTAACCTTGATGGACCGTTAGTTTTACACGTCATTAGCAGTTTTTAGGATTTTTTTTAATCCCTTGAGAGGGTATTCAGTGTATCCATTGCCAAGCTAATAACTTTCTTACAACGGAAAATGAAAACTTCGTTATGAGTGGCTCAGTACTATTCCATGTATCTCATCAAACATTAATCAGAGCAGTGTTTGAAAATCGCAACAAATTTACAAGTGTCCAAAAAGTGGTTTTCGTGTCTGCAGTTGACTGAATTTCCTCTGATAAGCTGGAACATGTAAGAAGTTGAGAACTAGCGTTTGACTAGAGTTGCTATCGGTCAGTGCTCTCTTGTTTAAGGTAGTATCATTTCGTTTAAGGCCACATCCTGTGTTTACTAACTGTCTTGTATAATGTCTACAGGACTCTACTTTAAAAGAGTGTGCTGCATTTAGAAGCAAGGTTAGTTGGTATTTTTGTTGATCAGGTGGTACATAGACGGATTCGTCCAACGTGTCTACATCCTTATTGCCACCGAATTCAGACCATGTGATGTTACAATTGTTCTGTTTGTACATACTCCCATGCAATCAGCTACGTGTGGCAAATTTCACATTTGTAACCTCCCATGAATCATCAGGTGGTCTTAACTGGGTGATAAAAAGGATACAAGCACGTTTAATAGCCGAATCCATCTATTCTTTGATCGACTCCCTTTAAGTCCTTTACTAATGTCGATTCACCGCTTTCAGTGTTGCTTTCCTGTTTTCCAATGTTGTCTCCCTGTTTGTAAGTGGTGGCCCATTGCTTGCCAATGTTGGACCAGTGTTGTCCCACTGCTTTCTAATATTGCTTCTCTGTAACACTACGGATTTTCTTTACTGAAATCCTCCGCGCGAAGGACTGAATCAAAATTATGCAAATTAGGGAAAGATCGCTCGGCATACGCTAGGAAAAAAAAAAAGAGACAGTTTTGCAGATTACTTTCCTGTTTACCAGTGATCTGTCAATGCTTATCAGTAAGGCCCCACTTGTTCGAAGGCTGGATAAAAATCGCTATCCAGTGGATAAGTGTTAAAAAAACAAACCGCGCTATCCGCTGGATAGTGATTTATCCGGTGGATAGCGTTATCCACCTTTTGAAAAACGCGGGCCTGGTGAATTATTGTTTGTCAATAATATGGCGCAAGGCTTGCTTAATATGGTATTTATGGTGTTACAGGGTCGTCTTCCAGTCTTGTGCTGGTACAATGTCAAGAAAGAAAATTTCATCATGCGTTGTGCACAGCCAAAGACTGGTCCTGCTTTCAAGGTGAGTAGTACGTGTTTATTTGTGGTGTTCTTTTACAGGATTTTTCACCGACAGATTTTAAAAGCTGCATGAAAGAAATTTTCTTCATGTCTTATTGTCCATAAAATTGATGGATCAGTCCATACGTGAACTTCTGAGCAGAAAACATCAGTACACACACCAAAAAAGAAGCAAAAATTACATTTGCCTTTAGTTATTAGCTACTGCGATGATTGGTAACGCAGCAACAACGTTTCTTTCCTTAGAAAATGCACGCCGGGCTGCTGTTTGTTTAAGTTTTGACTGTTTTGCTTTATTCGTCATTTTTTATCCCTCTTCGGTGCACTAGAAATGTCAGTAAAACACTAACAGTCGGTCTGTGAACGTCCTCTTGTCTCTGCGTCCTCTTCATTAGTATGTTTTTCTGTTTACAGTGGACATCATCAATGTTTAAACAACATGTAGGTTGCACTGTTAGCAATGTCCTCATTAAACTATTGTAAGTAGCTCAGACAAGCAGGATATTAACCCTTTGAATACCAAACTTTCGCCAAAAAATACCGTTTTTAACCGTTTAGTCAGGTTTTTTAGCTGCCAGGACGCTAAATAAGCCTAAGTTTTGCTAAAAAAGCTTTTTTTACTAAAAGGTGAGATTTTTCGAGGAATAGGCGCAAAATTGAGCAAAACTTCAATTCCGGGCATGCGCATAAGCCAATTTTTTTTTTTTTTTTGCCATTAACCGTTCTCAATTTCGTTTGTTGGCCCTTTCCTTTCTGTTTTTCTCGGCCCTTTTACACTGGCTACCTTTTNCATAGGCGTTGTGGACCATTTTACCACCGTTTTTGCACCAAAACTGATAACGTTGTTTTTCGATTTGCGACTTCGGAATGTCGTCGATATCTAGACCTGACCATTGTGCAGAAAGGGCTAGCCTAGCAGTACGATCTGCTTATCAAGAAAATCTTATGACATTTAAGTTGATGACGTCACAAGTGGTACAAAGAGTACGACCATTAATTACGCATATATGCGTAGTTGGTATTCAAAGGGTTAAGTAAACTGCCTACATACAAGTACATTCAAAAACTCATAACATTAAGAACTATTCTCTGTATACTCGACCGAAGTGTTGGATTGTTTTCTGTGCCAGTGTAAATGTGTATTTGCTTTGTTTTTCAGTCTGTGTGGTTTGTTCATTTTCAGAACTCTGTCGACGACGAATTTGTCATTAGCACTGCTAGGAAGTGTAATAAATGTACAGACAAGCTTGTTATTTTTGATGCAAGATCCATGTTTGCAGCGGGAGGAAATATGCTTAAGGTGCGTTACACCCTGTGTTCTAGTTTGAGACTTTTTTTTCTAACTTCGTCTTCTTTGGTCCCTTCTCAGAAATGTTTCTCTCGAAGCGTTTCAAAGTGGTTTTCAGGAAGTCTCTTTCTTGCAAACTCTACAAAATGCCTCCTGTTGTTTAGTTTCCAAACTTCTAAGCCGATCACAGATCCGACGGTCGTCTAGGCTTGATTTCCGCTCAATTTCCGCCGTTCTCTCGGGTCCGGTCGCATTTCTCCCCGAAAAGACACGGCTGTGAGTTCGGGGGAACAGCGTGGGCTCCTTTCCCGAACAGCGGCTAGTAATCGAGTCTAACGGTCGTGCAGTTGATCGGCATATGTTTAAATTTGAAGCAGGGGATTGTAAAGTTTCTTGGGGGAATTGTTGTTGTTTTGAGGGGTGTTTTCAATTAGAAAGGGAGGGAAAAGATTGTGTGCATTTCACCGTGTTGACCCTCGACTCCTACCAATTTTTTTTTTCTTTCAAATTTTGGAACACATCTCACAAGTTCATTGTCAACGGGTGCCAATGTAGATGTAGAAAAACATGAACAGTTTTACTCGTTATAAAAACTTGATTCAACGTTCTAGCTGATGTCGAATTGGATGATCTCTTTCGTTTGTGGTCTTGTCGTTACAGGGCAAGGGAACAGAGGACACTATAAACCGTTACCAAGGTTGCCAGCTGTTGTTTCTCGATATTCCAAATATTCACGCTGTACGGGACAGCTTGTACAGACTGCAGGGCGTCTGTGAATCTTCAGCGCAGAAGAAATGGCTGTCACATCTAGAGTCGACCCAGTGGCTTGCGTACATCACATCTATCCTAAAGGTACCGTAATATCTTCATCCACGCAGGATCTTAAATTTCAGTAGGTGTTAGGAGCAGTGGTCCAACGATCGATACATTTCTATCCCCGATTCAAGCCCTGGCCGGGGTCATTGTGTTGTGTTCTTGAGCAAGACACTTTACTCTCACCACTCTCACCACCCCTGAACGGTTACAGGGAAACTCGTATTAATTAGGGCAACCTGACAGAAAGCTGGACAAGCATCCCATCTAGGGGGAATTGCAATACTCCTAGCCGCTTCACGGGGGAGATATGCGCCAGTGCGTTATGTGTTATGCGTTATCCGTTGTTATGTTATATGTGTGTGTATTTGCACCATCGTCATTCTAATTATCACCTTCATTATACAGACGTCATCATGACGTTGTCAAGACATCTTCATTGTTTTTATTTTCGTGTTTGTTGGTTCCAGGGCGCTGTGACGATTGCTCGGTTTGTTGATAAAGGTGCCGCTGCCCTGGTGCACTGCAGTGACGGCTGGGATCGAACGTCACAGCTGACGTCACTAGCTCAGCTGCTGCTGGACCCGTTTTATAGAACGATAACAGGATTACAGGTAAATAACGCTAGGATCACATGCAAGTAACACTTATAGTGCATTTATATTCTGACGATAAACTGATATTAGGTGGAAAACATTATGATAACAGTTACTTTTACATAACATCTTCGCTGTTTAATTAAATTGTCACTCACAGCTATTTGCCACAGAACCAGGCGGACGAAAATCTTGATAATTTTTATTTTGTTGTAATCATTTCGTTAGGTTCTCATAGAAAAAGAGTGGATATCATTTGGTCATCGTTTCCGCGACAGACTGGGCCATCTGTCTTGTCCCAGTCAGCGGTCACCTGTGTTTTTACAGTTCTTGGACTGTGTGTGGCAGGTAAATTGATCAAACGTTCGGTTGTCATAACTGGCGCGACGTACTTTACTAATTGGACTGAAGCTATCTCCTTGATGGCCAATCAGGAGGATAAACAAACCGGACATTACTTGGTTTACCTAATTTTTCCCGCGCTTGGCACCAGTGTACGTTTGCCGCTCCAAGTTTTTTCCGCGCTTTGCACCGGGTGCATGTAGTTCCGTGCTTGGGACCAAATAAATGCTTTCTCAAGTTATTATAACAGCCCTTAAATTTTTCTCAGCTTGTCTCGTAGTCTGTTGACACTATGGCTCTTTGACAGTGTCATTCTGTATTCTCTCTTTTTTCTGTTCTAATTAATTCATTTTTTTCCACCTTCCAGATTGTACAACAGTTCCCCAGCGCTTTTGAATTTACTCCAGTATATTTAGTTAGAATAGCAGAACAAGTTAATTCGCAATGGTAAGTTGTTCTGTTTTTGTTTTTTAAATTAATTCTTTCCTTCCTCTCTTCTTCCTTCTCTCCCTCCTTCCCTTCCCCATTTGCTATCTACCTGTCTCCTCTCATTACGCAAATTGTGTGAACTCTCGCGCAGTTCTGAACTTTTTCCGTCACCGTGATGTCAATTTACGTCATATTATATTGTTGTTAGGCAACGTCTGACAAATACTGCAGGCTCGATCTGAATCTGTATATTTTATGTCTTTTGAACAAAGTGTCTCTCCGTTGCAGGTTTGGAAACTTTCTTTGTAATAACGTGAACGAGAGACAAAAGCATTCGGTTCCAACTCTGACCGTATCTCTGTGGGCTCACTTGAAAGCAGATGAAGAAAGCTTCAGGAATCCAACCTACAGAAAGTACACAGAGGTAGGCGGGCTGGCCTTAATGAATTTACGGACAAGACAGCTGGAGTTTGGGACAGACTTAATTGTGTATATGTAAAAGAAGTTAAAATCTGTTGTTTCCCATACCCTCTCCTTGGTACCCCTGTCCTTTTCCGGGAAAGGGGTTAGGGTACATTCTAGGTGATGCTAAGCTTTGTGTCAGAAGGTAGTCAAGTCAAGTCAAGTTTATTGTGTATATACACTAAGCTTTTGTGAGGACAATCTCACCCGCTAGTTTGCAGGTATAACACAGAAAGTAAAATAAAAGAACTAAATTGAGACAATACCTTCAACAAATAACTAAGATAATACCAGGGACGAGATATAACTTTTCATAAAAATGCGAGGGAAACCGTTCCTTTGTACTCTGTGCTGTAGGAGAAGCTGGCTCCATACTTGTTGTAGGTTATTTTAATCCTATAGCTCATCCCTTAAAACTTGTTTGTCTCTCCTGACTTTACAGACGTTATTTCCCGTGTCAAACCCAAGAAGGCTTCAGTTGTGGGTGGATTACTTCTTAAGATTCGACGAGACTGCTTGGTCAACTCAGGACCCCACCATTCAGGACGATGACGGCGATGCGGAGGTAAGTTGAGGGGGAAGAGAGAGGTGGGTGTCAATGAATTCTCACTGCCCCTCAGACTGATCCGTAAACACGTTTAATTGATTTTCCTACAAGATGTTTTCAATCGCACTAATTGTTGTTGTGGTGTTTGGTGTTTTCAGCCGGTGGTTACCAAGCCGCTGGATTCAGTTATTTGGGTCCCGGATGATAGAGCGCGGGAATGCGCGGACTGTAAACAGAGATTTACACAATTCAGAAGAAAGGTATTAAGGTCAACTTCTCAAATTCTAATTACTGGACTCCATATATTTCTTATAAGATTATAAAATTTTGAGAATTTGACTACAGTGCGACTTCTCGAACCGAGCCACTTGGAAAAGAGTTAATGGTCAATCAACGTTACTAAAGAACAAAGGATAGCGATCTTTTTCTCAAATAACCAATAACATTCAAAAATACGAACAATAGTTCTTAACAAAATTGAAAACCTCTCAGTGTTGCGAACCCCTCAGGAAACTTTGCGTTTTGTTGCTTGGTTAGTTCGATCCTAAATTTTGTACGCTTTTCAACGATTTTGTTTAGTTGTCGCAAAATTAGTTTTCAAGCTAAATCTTTCGAGCGAGATTTATAATTATGATAATTCGCCCTCAAGAACTGAATCTCTGAGAGTGTATATGACGCAGAGGAGTCGATAGTGTTTATGTTTTCGCGTCAAACACACCGTTACTTGTTCTTGCCCATTGCACTCAGTATAAGTCTTCACTGGTTAGTTTCTTCTAGGTGGCCTTATTCGAGTAGTCACACTGTAATATGTCCAGTACATCCTTGCTGTTCCTGTTTTGAACCTTAACTATCGTTGGTTCTGCGTGTAGTGCAAACGTTCCTCAGTAACTTTTTCCTAGTTCAGTATTATGTGAGATGTTGTGTATCATTTTGTGACTTGGTCGTGTTGATGAGTGCAGGGGAGGGGAGGGTAAACAGTGGGAAACGCGAGGACTGCTACTTTGCGTGTGTTACTTTGCTATCAACATGTTTTGATTTTGAAAAGACACCTTGGGCGCGAGTCTGATAACTTAGGCCCAGTTCAGACGCCGAACTTTTCATGAGCCGAACATAATTCGAATTTGGACCGACCCAAATTATCAAAAGTACTCCTGTTGATTCAGACGTCGAACTTAATTCACCGAAGTTAATTTAGTTTGAACCAAAACACTGCGAAACATCAGCGATTTTCAGGCAAGGTGTATGCATTAGGTTCGGCACATGAAAAGTTCGACGTCTGAATTAAATCCGTTCGAAAGCCGAAATTCCCGGCTGAGCTAGGCGGRAAGAACGGCTGAGCCGTTCCAAATTCAAATAGCCGTTTTTAACTGATTCAGACGCCGAACTTTTCATGTACTTAATTCAACGTATTAGGTTCGGCTCATGAAAAGTTCGGCGTCTGAACTGGGCCTTAGTTGCGATGGCCTGATGATAATTCTGCTAACAGACTGGTTTTATTTTTTTTACTTTCCTGATGTGATTTCCGCTGGACAGCATCATTGCAGGTGAGGAAATGTTACTTCGTACAAATACTGTTATTGTTCTTACCAATGAGGAAATTTCTTTTCTTTTTTTTTTTTTTGCCTTTTCGTCCAAATTTTTCCGTTGATTCTTCATCCTATGTATTCGCTTTGATCTAAATAGACTCTTGTCGAATAATAATTCTTGTATTTTCAGAGCGTGTGGTCAAGTGTTCTGCAGTGAATGTTCAAAACAGAGAATCCCTCTTCCTCAGTTTGGTTACATGAACCCTGAAAGAGTGTGCGAGAACTGCTTTCAACACAACAGCATCAGACAAGTCGACGAAGAGGTCAGTTACTGCTAACAAATGTGGCTATCTTGACGGCTACAACGCAGTCGTTTGCTAGCTTGCTTGCTTGTTTGTTTGTTTGTTTGTTGTCTTTGTGTTTTTGTTTGTTTGTTTGTTATATATAGTCTTCAAGAATGCACCAGACATCAGTCCCGGGAAGGGGAGCACTCCCATGTCCCCCTAGGCTCGATTTCCGCCGCTCACTTAAGTTATGCCTACGATGCCGAACAGCGCGGCTGGTAATCGAGCCTGAATTAGTCTCCAATAGGAGAGAATAATTCTGGTCGTGGCTTGAGCTCCATTGGACCCTTCAACCAAGAACACAACAGACAAATAAGCGTTATAGTGACTTAATAATGATAAAAGCGTTGTCATCGAATGAGATCATCGCCGATTTAAACTCCCAACACACTGTGACGGTGTGAAATGTACCTTGGGTAAACATGGCTTGGGTAAACATGGCTTGGGTAAACATGGCTTTCTGTCCCCAACACCTTAATCCGTAATTTACACCCCTAACAGACATCGATCATTTACCTCACGTGGGACCTCCCTGCCACCCGGGGAGAGAGAAGTAGTAGAAAATATGGCCAGTTGGGTTGTTCGCCCTTAGCTACGTCACGGGTTGCACCTTTTGAAAAGTTTCCCCTAAATTTTTCAAGTTCGTCGTTTGCAATCCGTGTTAATCTTTTCCATCCTTAACCATCCTTGTTCCTTTATGGTTGATTATTATCTTTCTGGTGTTTTTCTATCTTAGTAAACTACCATTTTCAGGTTTCCCTCAATTCAAAGGTAATTTTGCACATGGCCAAGATACCGTGACTGAACTCCTTTAAGACAAGTAAAAATGCACGTCTTCATTGTTGTTTTCTTTAGGACGAAGATGAGTTTGAAGTGATCACGCTCCCGACTTTTTCAATGTAATGTTGAATTAAGGCGAAGACATTTTGCTCAAACAACGCTCCTGCAATAACCAAGATATTTCAAGGAAAATATTCAACGCTTGTGCTACTGGCTGGAGAAGGCGAACAATCTTGACAAAAGAAAAAGTTCGAACAAGAAATGTTATCATACAGCTTGGATTTGTCGGTGAAAGGTGTTCTTTAGTGGTTGCCAGTTATTTACCCGTGAAAAAGTTCCTCGTGGAACAATTTGCGTGGTAATGTAAGCAAAATTCTATGCTTTTACCAGAAAGGCTTGTGCAATTATTTTTAACAATGATAAATATACCGCGCGGTTTGATTAGTGTAAAGAAACATTGAATGGTTTTCTATTTTTGAGTTATTTTTTAAACGAAACAGAGTAAACCTTTGAACATTTTATCCGCGTTTCCTAAAGTAGAGATACGGTAACGAAAGTTTGGTAGAGCTGGAATCATCAGATAATGGAGTAATCACTCGTAGTATTTCGGTAGTTGTACGAGTCGCTCGCTATTTTGGCGTTAAAAATGACTTGTAGAAATGTGCAGCGATGCTAGCTATGCGCTAAAATGTTTTTCCTTAAAACAAACTTTAACTTCTAACCGTAACGCCACTTTGCTTAGTTCCTGGATCTTGATATTTCGTCTCGGTCAATCTTTCTCGGATCACGTGGTCCGGCCGTATGTCTCGGATACGTCACCGAAATCAATTGACCGTGAAGGCCTGGGAGAAGGCCGTACAGGAACTAGCCAAGTAGCCACTTATAGCTTGTCACGCACTCCTCAGGAAAGATTGCGTGACGAGCCTGAAGAGAGTCTGCGTAAGAGGAAAACTACAAGGACTGCAACTGACCTGTTAAACCGGTTTCCAAGGGTACAAATATCGTGAGAAATTTGTACTCTGGGGAGTGGAGTTGGTTTATGATCCTTGTTCCCCCAAACCTCCACGTGTGTTGCTGTAACTCTATAAACGCACGAAAATTACGTTTTATTTCTCAGATGTAAAGTATTTATAAAATGTACGATTATTAAAGTGTGTAGAATTGTAAAATTTATTGTAAATGTATGATAGGAATATGTTTATTAGGGTTTGAATTAATTAAATCATGTACAGCATAAAATGTGTATGCGTTATTTTTTTGTTTTCCTTGTAGATCAGTGTACTGTAACTGCTCGGTTGTTGTGTAGAGAGAAGACAAGGCAATGTTGCAAGAGCAATTTTTGCTTTATAGCTGGCTCGGCGAGTGGCCAAGATGAAGTACTTTCTGATACAAGAGCGGGCAAGAACAGATACATCTGATCCATCTTGCCCGCTCGGGTTACCTGATGCCCGTGCGCTAGACGCTGCTGGTCTTAACACGGGCCAAACAGTGCACAAAGGAACTTTATTCAAATGCACTAAGTCTTTTCAAGTATGTGAAAATTAAATAATCCCACTGGAAAAAAACACTGAACCTCCAAGGTCTAAGATTCTTCAGGTAGTTCGTTGTCTTCCTAAGCTAAATAACAAGTCCTTAATTGAAGTTCCTTCTAGTGTTTTTTCGCGTGTAATCACAACGGTAGCTTGCCCTTACGCTTAGTCAACAACCCATATCTTCTCTCAATCATTCAATTTTAGGTGCTTCATATGGTTTTAAAAACAGTTGCTATGGAACATCTCTCTAAAGAAGTTATTTAGACAAACCAGACAGACCAAACTGGGTTTTTTCTGTCGTTTTTCCTTAGACTGAAACCTCTTAAATTTAATTGAGTAGCAACTTTGCCACCTTTAAACCGGAAACACCAAAACCTTTTAGAATGGTGTATTAGATATTTATCTATATATTTTTTAAGTTGAGACAATAGGGGTTCTCTTTGGAATGGCGCCATAGATCATTCCGTGACACTTACTTGAAGTGGGCTCCGCCTACGGAACAAGAAAGCTCTCGATTTTGCTTCCCAGGTGAAGGAAGTCGTAAGCTGACGAAGCACGTACGAGTCATTAAAACACACAGGAACTTTATCTGTGTAACTAGAGTATTCCATTAGAAGTGCGAAGATGGAAATTGTTCACACATTTGGAAAGAGTTCGAAAATGGTAATTTGTGGCACAAATTACCATTTTCCAACACGTACAGGGTTGGAGGAGGTTCACATAATTGAATAAAGTGCCTGGACTTGTGCTACAGACCTTTAAATTATGTCAACCTTTATTTCTTTTCTTTTATTTCCTCTTTTCTTTCCTATTTGACACTGGTGAAATAACGCTAATGTCGATGAATGCGTGACTCGTAGGGAAAAGAGCATGTCTGTTTCATCCTAATGCACGCACGCGGTCAGGACCTACCGGCTAAACGACACTCGGTAACGGCAATCTTTAAAAACTTAGTTATTCGATCAAATACGATCAGTCGCCGAAAATTTTCCTTGATATACTTCACATGAACTTAATTAATGTCAAGGACTGAGTACGCGACATAAAAAAAATATCCCTTCAAAGTGTAGGGCTTTGGAACATCTCGTGAAATTTTCGGAAGCTGTCGAGACTGAGAAAAAAACTGGATTAAGATTTGGTTTTACAGACTTCTTTACAGACTTCCTTATCGTTTAACTCCAATTTTTTTGACACACGGTGGTTTTAAGAGTCACCTTTAGACGGTTTAACTTCGGCTATTTTATTGAAATTTATTATTTCCGAATTGGTTTCTGGAGCAAACCGCTAATATGTTCAAAACAGATAACAATAAAACACGTGCGGCGGCTGGAAAAAACGTGCGACACAGTGAACAGCTGTGAATTTCGGTGGCAATCTCCTGAAATTATCCGGTGAAATGTATGAGAAAGTGACAAACTGCTGATTAGTTGTTCTGGAAGCAAAGATCAAACGTCGCGTTAAAAGTTCAAACTTCAAAATGGCACGTTTACTTGTATCTTGAAGCCTATGACTAACAGTCTAAAAAACCATCTAGCTTTAAAGTAAATAAATCATATTTCGCAATTCTGAAAGCAAATTTTGGAACGTAATTTTTTACTCGAAGTTGTTTCCCCTGTCAATTTTTGTAGTAGAAACGTTCTCTGATTGGTCAGCTTGGTGTTAATACGGCAATTTCATGTGTACCTGATAATTTGACTCTCTCTAATCCTCCAATCATGTTTTAGCATAGCTTTTAAATTACCTCTAAAATGAAATTGGAGATTTAAAAAGTTTCCGTTGCAGTTTTAGCCCTTAAAAGCTTCGGATACGTTAGATTCATAGCAAACCACATCCGTTTTGATTTCACCATGCCCAAAACGTGATCTGAAAATTTCACGCCAGTTTTGGAGTAGTTTTGCCTTCTATCGACCATGGTTGTGCACAGAAATGGTTTAAGCGAAGACGCCGATATCTATGGAGGTATTACACCCTCAAACGAAGAGGAAAATTTTCTTCTTGTCTGTTTCTCTGTGATTGTTGTGTTCACCATTGTTGGAAGCCTTATGGTTTGCACGGTCAACATGAAGAACAAAGACATGCTCAGGAGTCCTTATAATGTGAACTTATTTCACCTCGCCATAACTGACTTGCTGGTTTCTACTGCGATCTTATTGACACCGGGATTTATCTTCCAAGAGATACCTTTCGCACCGGTGCTTGGCGGTGAGATATTTTGCCGTGTCATTTCGTCGCATTTTTTAACTTTCAGCACCGCGACTACCTCAGTCTATATTACCGTCGCACTCGCCACAGAACGCTGGTACGCGGTAGCGAGACCACTCGAGTACCGCGCAAAATTCCACAAAAAACGTCTCGTATGCGAGACTTTTACGATATGGGTGCTATCGCTTGGTGCAAACTCTTTGTTGCCCTTAGAAGTGAAATATAACCCGGAAAAAAACTCGGCTTTGGAAAGCTGCGAAGTAGTCAAGATCCCGTTTGTCGATCCTCCAATTCACAAACTCCTTGGAATCGTTCAGTTGGCGTTCAAGTTTGTCATTCCGTTCGCGATAAATTGTAATTTGTACCTCCGAGTTTTGGCCGAAACCCGAAAGTCACGTGTACTAAGCCGCAGAATTGGCTCGCACATGCGCCACAACATCAGTCGAATGGCAGCTGTCTCCACTCTGGTTTTAGCCTTTTGTTGGTTGCCAAATCAGGTTTTTTACGTGTGTTTCGCTTTCGACCTCGTGCAGCTTAATACGCCCGCTCACTTCACCACCATTGTCATAGCACTGATTAACCCGTGCTTAAACCCGTTTATTTTTGCTTTTCACTCCGTGCAGTACAGACGCGGATTTAGAAACTTGTTTTGTGGCGGATACGCAGACGAAAATGGAGATAAACTAAAACAGACCGAGAACAAGCGATTGCACAAGTTTCGCCACACGCAGCTAAGTCACTGTGGCCCTGAAAACCTCAGTCAAGCACCTTCGTCACCCGTTTAGTGATCTGTGATCTATGTAGAGCGTTGAATTTTAGAGGGAACGTTCCACTTTTGAAGCCGCTTGGTACCAGATCTAATACGATAGTATTAACTATATGAAGACGGCAGCATAGTTTTAAACATTGAAGAAAATCTGAAAACACTATCTATAAAGACTTTTAAAAACCTGGAGTTCGTTATTCCTGAATGGAAAGTTACAATTGCTCTCAGCAACAAAATGGATTTGAACTTTGCACGTATGAGTTTCTAACCCGGGAGGGGCAGAGGCACTTCCCAAACCTTTTTTTAGGTTGTTTCCCAGGCTGTAACAAACGATCTCTATCACGCGTTCAGCATCTACGGACATAGCGGAAAAAACAGAGCTCAAAAAAGCGTGTGCACTGGGAACAGGTGCAAATTTAGTTGCCAACATCCTTTAAGTAGTGCACTAATAATTGATGGCAAGTGTGATTATTAAGGTTTGTTTGCTCCAGTAGCAAAGATGAATATTATATCAATGCAAACCCCATGAAAATGTCACGTTTACCTGTACAAGTGCGGTATAAATGTAAAAGTCCACACAAATCCCCCAAAAAATTGCGCCCTAAATTAAGATATTCCCCGTATTAAGATATGAAAAGTACTTAACTTTAAAAAAGCATTGTATGACAAAGCCATATTTATGGCTGAACAACAAAGATTGATTGATTGATGTCATGTTTAAGTCCATTTAAGCAGCTTTTAATTAATTTGAAGAATTGTCAATATTTATGATCACTTCTTACATACAGTATCTTAAAAAAGAATATTAAATGAGATCTGTAGGTTATTACTTTGACCGAGCAGTAAAGATTCATTGATGTCATGGTTTAGTCTTCTCTTTTAATTCTTTTGAGGAAAACGTTTGACAAATGAAAACGTACTTTTGAAGTAGTCATTTCTCCATCAATTTTCTTATGAGAAAACCCTTCATAACTAGTGTGCATTTTACATGATCTTGGGCCAGCTTATTCCTTAAGAAAGTCGTACTAGCAAATTAACTTTCATTTTTTTTAAAAATCTGGCCGAGCTCGTGTGGAACTCCGTGAATCCAGTCACTAAATACATCGGATCACTAAAACACGATGAACATGTACTTATATCGAGAAATGTCTGATCATCTCAGAAACCATTATGCCTAGAAAGCGGTATATAAGAATCGCCTTAGACTGATGCAAGACAGCTTTGTTGACTTTGAACTAAAGCAAGAGCTTCAAGTTCAAATGAACCGGAGAATTTCCTAAAATTTAAATCGTATTGTTTAAAAAATTTTAAATGGTGCAGAAAAACCGTTTCTTACTTCATGTGGCCGTTCATTTGAATTTAAATCAGTTAAAACACAGTTCATTCTCATCTGGCCAAAAACAATGAAACAAAACTAAGTGAACCAAATAGAAATCGAAGCAAAATACACGTGACCCACACCAAGCGCGGAAAAAATACGCGTTTTTAGATTGGTTCAATAAACGGACCAATAGCAGAGCTGAGAAAACACGCAAACAAATAAACACAACTGAAATAAAAAAAAAAACGCTCTAAATAAAAACATCAGCAAATTGTGCGCAATTCTGTTGAATAAAGCGGCTCAAATGTAACTAAAATATTGCTGAATTTGAATGAGATTAAATTTCGATAAACATTTCAAAATAAAAATGAGCGATAGAAATAGAAATTTTACGTTTATTAGTAAGACACCTAGCCTGAACAAGCAATCGATTCCACCCGCGCGAAACTATTTGTTTAAACAAACATGTTAATGGACAATCACACCTCTCACCGCGTATATAACACCGTTGAACCGTTATTTTCTTGTCACTTGATAATGATGTCATGACGACATCGAAACGTTGTGTAAAATTTCTATCGCTCATTTTTATTTTGAAATATTGCTGAAAAATTTTCAAAATCCAGTACAAGTTTTCCGTGCCTAAAGCCAGTCATAGAAGTTCTCTATAAAATTAATAATGTAGAGAGGGAAGAGTTTGTTCAAACTTTCTTTACGAGGAAAAATATCCCAGGAGAGTCTCGATAGCGCCAGCTTGAATGCCCTTCATATGTTCTCGTTGACAACAAGCAGCCCCTTTTTCTTCTTATTCTGTTGAGCGTCTCGGAAAGAAATTGCACAAGAGGAAACACTCCACAGACAGAGCAGGGTGACAGAGGGCTTGCTCGTGGTCTGTCTCAGACACGAATCACTTAAAGGAATTCAGTCACGGCATTTTGAGTTATTTTGTTCATGTACAAAATTACCTTTAAATTGAAGGAAACCTGAAAATAGTAGTTTACTAGGATAGAGAAACCCCCAAGAGATAATAATAAACCATAAATGAACAAGGATGGTTAAGGATGGAGAAGATTTAACACGGATTACTAATGAGGAACTTGAATAATTTAGGCTAAACTTCTAAAGTTGCGGAAACCGTGACGTAGCTCCTTAAACAAAAGGACTTCCTATTTGGGAAACAGATTTCAACTGTAACTACGAACTCGAAGATAGAAAAGAGTAATTGAAGCGTGGAATACAAAGTTTGCACTGCCCTCATTGCCCTCACACAGTACATTGCACATCACAGAGTACATTGATTCCTTTCAACACAGTTTTCATTTTATTTACTTTTTTTTGTTTCAATCGACTGAACAAAATGTTCACTAACGTTTCGATAATGTATTAAATTAACAATTATGTACAATTGTCGGACACTTGTAATGATGTGTCAAAATAATAATAATAAATTATTACCCATCTGGGCCTGCCAAATGGTAGACATGAATCTTCAACACAAAAATATTGATGATATCAGACTGGATGTTGTTCACTGACACGGCCAAGGAGAGATGTAAAGAAAAATAATACTTTAAAAACTTCTTTTGTTCTCTCGTGATGTTAGATAATTATAAAATAAGTTACATATTTGAAATTACTATTAAAAAACCTTCACCCTCCCAAAGGATAAAATTCGAGTAAATCTTTCTTATTTGGGTAAATAGATTGAGTTTCCATATAAATAATATGTACCAAAAATAATATTAAAATAGCGACAGATTTGATTGAGATTCATAGTCTAGTTTTCACTGTCAATATTATTTAAAATATTGTTGGTTTTCAATATCATAAATAAATAGTGATGACTTTGAATAGATGTTAGATTCAATTGGATCTCTTGCATTTTCTAGATATGGAGTTAGCAAGTGGCAAATTCGAGAGTTTGTGTGGCATATATTCAGTGAGCTCAAGACTTTCTCAGCCTTGCAATTTGAGACAGAAAGACTCATAAAATCTGACCAAAATTCTGCAAGACACATATTTTTGGCAGGACCATTCGCCACCTCTAACAACATCAATTGCACTTGGTGCAGTACAAAGTGACATCGTCACTACTAAATAACTGTGTAATACCTCTTTGATCCACTGTCTCAATAAACCCAGAAACCCATGATAGTTCAAAATTCAGTGGTACATCTCATTGATTCATTAAGTACCACAAATGAAGGGTTGCCTGGAACAAAGTGCCAAGGGACTTCAGATAAATCGCTAGATTTTCCTTCCCGATTGCCTTTTATTCCCTTGTGAAACACAAGGAGAGTTTGATGTCGCATCAACAGTCACTTGGGGCCTTATTCTGAGAACTCCTTCAAATAACAAGATTATATAAAGTTCAAGAAAATTACAAATGTTTTAGTGAGGCAAACTAAGAAAAGCAAATTATAAACTTAGCATGCCACTTCATGTATTGG